AGTACCCTTTTCTCCTTGACATTGTCTTCTTACAGTCAGCATTTTATTGCCCTTTTATAGTATTAAAAAAAAAAGTGGAGGAGGAAGAAAAAAGACAACCCACATGCTAACTAATCCACCAAAATACTACACAGGGTTTTACTGCCTCATCCCTGAGCCACTCCTACCTGTGCAGATGCGCCCCCCTCCTTTTTTTCTGTGCAAGGAAGTTTGGAAACATTGTTAGCCTAAAAAATGAACTGTGCGGATGCTCTCCTTGTATGCGATTGAAACCTAAGGGCCCACTCAGGGATCCCCCCCCCAGCCCCTGCCAAAAAAAAAACCCTTTGGTTTCTCAGGAGGGACTGGGCAGAGGGAGGATGCCCGGTTTGTTTTCTGTCCACTTCGGTGAAGGTGATTTTCCTGACAAAATGATGCTGGTGAACTGGTCTTTAAAGGGGATCAAGGATGGAGGGACGTCCGCGGAGCTCTGTGCCAGGGCCAAGGTTACGGTCCCCCGCAAGAGGCTGATGAATGAGCTTACGGATGTTTCAGAGGTGTGAAAAATCAGCTTCTCTGTCTCCAGAAAAGAGGAGAGGCTGTCTTCTTTTTAACCTTTGTAATTCCCCTTCTATTCTCTGTGACATTCACTCAGCTGCCAAGAGCGTTTGGCAAGGTTTGGGCCAGCGAGCACACTTCCAGTGACCGCTAACCTTGGTATGTCCTGACACTTATGATGACTATCTGCAGGACACAGAAGGCGGGCAGCCTGCTATGTCAGGCTTTTATTATGTACTGCAGAGGCTAGGGACAGTCAGTTTAATAAAACAAATCATCCTTGAAGGTAAAGCAACTGGGAAGAGGAGGAGGAAGACAGGGGTGGGGGGATGTCTTTGCCACTCATTCTGATTTTAAAAAGAGCAGTAAAACGGCCACAGACCCAACACATCACGTGAGTGTGTGTGGCCCGGCTCTGGACTGAGTGGACTGGAGACCATCTCCCAGTTTTCCATTTCTCCAAAGCCCTAGAGGCCCTGGTCTGCTCTGAGGAGTCTCAAGTACAAGAGATGGATAGCCAGCGCCCTTCAAATTGATGAGTGCATTCAAGTACCCCATGGCTGCCCCGTTTTCCTCCACATACCAAGGCGAGACCGTGTGGGGTGAGGTGCCTATATTGGGATGGCTTTTTATCACGGCAAACTTTCCACTCTCCTCTCCTGAAGAACGCGTGGCAAAGCGGCTCCCACAATAGCCTCCGGAGTTCCAGCCAGAGACTTTGGAAGCCTTTTGTTTGTCCCCTGTGGCCTGTCCAAAGGCATGGCTCCCCCTCCCCCACCCTCAGCAGCCTACATTGTCTTGCATTCCAGGGGCTTGATTGACTGTTGCCACCTGATGCTGAGGAGATGGAGTCTAGGGTTCATTCTGCAGATTGTTGGGTTCTATTAAAAGAAACCGAGATAAGGGATTACTTGTCACTAAGGGATTTTCTGCAGATGTTTATTAGTGATTGGAAAGCCATTAGGTGTGAGAAGATGCAGAAAATATGGGCAAGATCGTGCCCACCCAGAGCCCCAAAGTTTAAGACGGCCCTGCAAGACATCGGAAGGACCTCCCCTCCTTGGGTAAATGGACTTGGGGGAAGGTTTCGGGCAGAGAGCTCAGGGTGCTTGCATTCACGGGTGATATTTCTACCTGTGGATGGAATTCACTGGCAGCCTCTCAGAAGATCAGTTGCTACCCAATACTGGAGCTACCTAAAAAGATTAGTTGCTCCTGTCTTAGAGGATCTCATTATAATGTTCCCCTACCAGCTCATTCTGTTGCAGGAGTATCAAATACTCACTGAGAAACTTTTTTCATCTGTGCACAAAGAATTCTTTCTTTCCCCAGTAGCTGGGCTTGGTGGCACATGCCTGTAATCCTAGCACTCAGGAGGCTGAGGCAGGAGGATCACTGTGAGTTTGAGGCCAGCATGGGCTACACAGTGAGACCTTGCCTTAAAACAAAAACAAATAAAAAAAGAATTATTTCCTTCCCCAACAAAAACCAATCATCAAAGTTTCTTCTGGGGAGTCTTAAACCATTTCCATTTATTTTGAAGGTGCTAACTCATAGGTACTTTTTCTTGATTACAGACCCGAGCTTTTATGAGGGTTTCATGCTCCTACAAGTCAAAATTGCTTAAAAAAGTATTACAAGGAGGCCACCACAGTTTAACAGCAATACACTTTATTTCCTCCTACTTTCTTATTTCATCATTTTTTCATCTCAGAGAATCTGTTTCTTTGTCTAGAACATGATGATTTCTGAGATCTCCAATGCTTTAAATTCTATCATTATTTTAAGTTTCCTTTTCAAAAAGCATGGAGGAGGAACGTGAGTGTGACTTCAGAACAGTGGGACACAGAGCAGAAGGTGAGATGTCATTATGAAGTATGGCATTTATCAAATGACTCTGGCAAGGCTACTGTGCTGAGAGACACACAGAATAAAAGCCGTGGCTCTGTATCTAAAGACACCAATGATAAGAGCAACAAAGCTAGATATAAGTTGGTGAAAAGTTAAATAACATCAGGACACAGATACAAAGGATATTCCACACAGCCCCGATGACAACCACAAGAAATAAATGTTTCAAATGGGGTAAAACCCACTAAGACCATTAAAAGGTGTAGTGAACAGTAAGAACAAGGACGCCAAACATAACCTCTGAGGTTACCTGGATACGTGCTCAGGCCAGTCCTGTAAGTACACTTGCCTCCCTGCCCTGGCGCTGCCTCTGCCCTGAATGTGTCCCCTCCTCTGATGGTCTCCATAGGCGTCCTCTCCCCTGGCCCCTGCCTCCTCACACTCCTGTGAGGTCCTTCGAGTGGGCAGGGCTTCTTCTGGAGCAGACACCCACACCCTCAGCCCCTGCAAACTCTGAGCCGTCTTGCCTCCTCAGTATTCAAGGAACATAGATTTTCATCGAGGCTGTGTTGCCAATGGCCAATGAGACCACACTTCTTGCAATGTGTATTTTAATAAATGCCAAGGATTATGTTTCTGTAGCATTTGGCTAACAGCTCCCAAACCAAGTAGTTAGAGTGGGTAGCGGTGCAACCTCACTCTTCTCTAGCCAGATTCCCTCTCCATAATGTCTATCGAATGCGATGTGGATGATTGTCTTTGAGGGGGCAGGGAAGAGTACTCACAAAGATTGCTTCACGGTTGCTATTTGGGATGAGGTGAGTGGGAGGGCTCAGCTCTCCTCTGACAGACTCCCCTGCGTACACCGGAGATCGGGGGAAGGCACCAATGGTCTGCACAAGACCCATATGAGTTCTCAGCAGGGAATGGTCATTTGCACACACCCGTGGGGACAACAGTGACTTTCCAACAGCATTGGGAGCTGTATCCTGATAACAGGCCAGTATAAATGTCTTTGGGAAAGGCTGCTTAACATTAGACTCCAAATGAAGCTTTTCCAGGGATTTATTAGGTTTTTCCATAAAAGACAATTGACTTGCTATTGGGACCCATGGGCTTGTTTGTCCAATTTTAAATGTGAAAACCAGGGATGTCCAGTGATTATTCTAGCTTTCTTTACCAGTTACTAGCCTTACGATAAGGTCCACTGCACCAGCTGAGAAAAGGTGGGGAGAAAGGAACTGAACATTTCCAGCATAACAATATCTCCTTTTAACTTTGATAAGTGGATATCTAAACTGTAATGAGAATCTTTCCTCTGTTATATATATGTAGATAGATGAGTTTACACGTACAACTGGTACATTAATGTCCTCATACATCTGCACTTAATGTAAAAATAAAACATTACCAAGGCATAAGTACCCCACTAAAAGAAATCTACTGAGTATCAACATGTACTTAGAAAATTAGGAGTTCATGGAAATATTTTCTGTGAATCCATTATGTTGATGTAGGGGATGTTCTGCCATACTTTACTATGAGTAACTTACAAAAGTGTTAAATCTATACACCAATTGCTACTCTTTCCCCTAGCCAAGAGATCATGCTACTAAAGCAAAAATTGAAAGAACACGGACACACACATACATATACACAACATATATAGGTTAATTACTGTGAAAGGAAAGGCTTAACAAATAGGGATTCTAAAAAGAGTATTTGGTGAATGTTTATCTTGGAATATAATAAGCTCGTACAATTTTCTTGATCTTTATGAGCCTCAGTTTACCCATGGTATAGATGGGATAATAAAAGCCTATACTGCAGTTGAGACAATGGAGTGACATTCACATTTAGTAAGTCACACAGTGCCTGGCACATAATAAGCACTCAATAAATGCTTGTTTTTATAATTATTATCAGCTGCATACATCAATCTTTTATGGTCCATTCTAATCTCAAGGTAAAGCAGTTCTGGTGCAGTATTCTAGGATTCAGTTTACATCTTAGATTTTATGGCTTTGTGTTCATGTCATTATCTTACTCCTTTATACATTAGAGACTTCATCGGGCAAATTATGATACCACTGAATAGTAAGTTAATAATTGTCTGATCCAAATGGGACATTGAGATTTTAGAGGAATTTCTTCATTGAAAATATGGGTTTAGTTTACATAGAAGCCCAATATTTATTACTAACTTTGGAGAATACATTTTTTTCACAATGGAAATCAAAAGGAAAGATAAATGAAAGTCTGAGAAAATTAGTTGGACACTTTCTCCCTAAGTGGGCCCATTTAAAGAAGTGAGGAATCCCAACCCCTTTTTCCCCCCAGTAGCCCCAATGAAAGCCTAGCTTCTCAGTAGTTCGGCTTGTGTCCCTTGCACAAGTCTCTTTCTCCAACCTGACAAAGCCGTTGTCCCCACATTACAATGCTGCTATATATAACAACTTTACATAAGAGAATAGAGGTCTGGCCATTTTTAGAAAGAAATACAGGTGCCACGTAAGCCCCTTACTGAAAGAATGAACTTAGCTCAGTTTCCTTTGAAGAACTATAGACTTGAAACTGAGAACTTTCCTAATGCCATTGTCTCCTTGTATCAGCAGGTTCCAGAGAGATTCCTGGAAGTTGCGCAGATCACATTACGGGAGTTTTTCAATGCCATTATCGCAGGCAAAGATGTTGATCCTTCCTGGAAGAAGGCCATATACAAGGTCATCTGCAAGCTGGATAGTGAAGTCCCTGAAATTTTCAAATCCCCGAACTGCCTACAAGAGCTGCTTCACGAGTAGAAATTTCAACAACTCTTTTTGAATGTATGAGTAGTGGTAGTCCCCTTTGGATGTCTGACTTCCTGTATGTGTCTAGATTTTGATTTCATGTATGTGTGTATGGGAGGCATGGATATGTTATGAAATCAGCTGGTAATTCCTCCTCATCATCTTTCTCTCATTTCCTTTTGTTTTCTATAACAAGGGGATGTTATTCTCCTTCTTCCATTAGTTTACTTTTGCCCAAGGCCCTTAACATTTGGAGACTTAACATAGGGTTAATTTTCAGGGAAAAAGAATGCTGGAGTGTGTAGAGTCTATATTCACAAGGAAGGGCATTTGGCAAAGACGCCTCTTCTCGTTTGGTGGCATATTGCAAATGGCGGCTGGCCGAGGTCACGCCATGACACTGAACAGCTCTGCAGATGGTGACCTGTCTCTTCTTTTTACTGTTAAGAAGGTCTAAAAATGCAAAGTAACCACTTCATACATTTAAATATTTTGTTTGGTTTGAACTCAATAAGTAGCTTTTTATTTGCTTAATTAAATAACACCAATAATAAATGAGAAGCTCACTTTTCAAAAATACCCCCAAAGGCCAAATTAAAATGAAAACAATTGCTCTCCAGCCCTTCCTAAGAGAAATGGCAAACACTCCCCAAACTAGCAGTACCAGTTTCTAATGAAGGCAAAGCAATTTTGTACAATACTGACTCTTTCAAGATGAGACTTGAAGCCCATACCTGCTCTTCTAGCCACCTCTAGACTTCACTGTTGGTTCTTCTTCATACTAAGTGAGCTTGTAGATCAGTCTTCACAGAGAAAAATGCTATGCTTTGTTACCATTTTCTATTTATTTTGCTTCAGATATTAAAAAGGCACATCCATTTCAAATTTACTCTGCTCCACTTTGTTTATATGCTTAAGAGAATTATTTATGTTCCATGAACTTTTTTTCGGAAACGCCATTTTCTGAATACCTTCCTACAGTAAGGAAGGAAGCAATCTCCAACTGGCCATGCAATCCTCGCCTACCCTAGAAGTTTGTCAGCAGCTTTGAGCTGACCGGTTTCCATGTATGATTCCTCACTACACTGATGGATATTCAAAGTGGTGACAGTCTAAGTGTTTACTCACTAGTCGTTACAACATCTTAAAGCAACCCATGCTATCTCTTCTAATTCAGAAGCTCATGTTGACCAAAATGTGAGAAGCGTAGGAAAGTTTGGGGTTAACCCAAAAGACACAATTTCAGCACAGCTGAGAAAGCTAGCTGCTATACCATGCTTTCTTCAATGGGTCTCTTCTTTTCCTTTTTCCTATTCTTTTCTCCAGTCTTTCAGTGATGTAGTGTGTCATGCATGCAGCATCCATACTTCTTTTCTTTTTTTTTCTTCGTACCGGGAATCGAACTCAGGACCTTGGCTTGCCAGGCAGGCGCTATGCCGCTGAGCCAGATCCCCGGGCCCTCACTTGATTTTTAGATGGGGTTTGCGTTCAGAAGCCGTAAGAATCCAATGCTCATTCTAATAGTGCTTTCCAGGCTCCTTCTTCCCCTTTGATCCACAGCTCTTAAAATGACACAGTAACAAACCTGGTATTTAAAATATACAGAGTATAAATGCCGTTTTCCCTTAATTTTCATAAAAAATGCATTTGACTTTGGAGAACGCAGGTAGACCCATGTGACTGACGAGCCGACCCAATCCTTGTCATTTAACGTCATTTATAAATTCTGCTGATGGAGAGGAATGTGGGAACACAATTATTGTCAGCACAAAGCCTTAAAACCTGCTGACTTTAAATTCAACGGTGCAGTCCTCTGGTGCCCTGCTCACCCGGGACACTAACAGGCCCTAGAAGTGTGGACAGATCGTGCAGTGGCCTGGGCTGGGACACTGACCCTTCTACCCTACATCCGGGGCCCCACCCATCCCCCAGTGGCACCCTCCCACACATGCGCACAGAATCATTCCATCCAATGTGTTTTCTGGCTTGCTTTAAAAAAAAACTTCTGATTATCAGTACATTGGAGTAAAATGCATATATATATATATATATATATATATATATGTATTCCAGTCGGCACAAAGTAATCTCAACTTTTGGTCACACTCTTGATTTGCTGAGCTGGAATCGTGTGCTGCCCACCGCTCGTGTCATTATACAACTGGATCTCCCCTGTACCATGTAATTCATATCAACATCGTGTGGCCCTTTGCAAGGTAAAAGGCAAACAAGGTGTAGTAGGTTCGCCTGGGTAGACAGACTGCAAGGTATTTTCTTAATCTGTGAAATAGTGATTTCCAGGTTTATTTGGATTTTGAGTATTACTTTCCCCTGCTTTTGTAATTTAAATAGGCAAATCATGCAAAAGTGTGTGTTTGCAGCCAAACATTGATGCACTTAGCTGCTGAGGAGCTCCTCTTCAAGTTCCGAGTAGAAACTGCAGTGTGAGGATAAACGCACCTCTGTTCTGAAAGTAGAACCATCTCTGCTTTTAGGTGATTTCCCCGCTTCTACAATCATAGAATTTTGTGCCTCCCAGTGCACCAGAAAATGACAAAAGCCTGTCTCTCAAAACTGCTATTTAACAGTTCTTTTTTAAAAATCCGCACCTTCCAAAGTTCAGGTCAACTCTCACCGAGTAAAAACTGGGTCCACAGGAGAAAGTTGACTTTCTGTGGAGGGCGGGCGAAGAATGAGGGACAGTTTACATAGGAGAGAAAAAAGTCTAAAGTCCATGTTGAAATTCCACCCTACCACTTGCTTTCTGTTAACTCTAAATTATTTTTGCGTGTACACTAGAGGTTATAGTCTGTGCCTAGACCTAAAATGCACCAGCGGGGGGATTGTTAAAAATCCTTCAAAATACCAGTTTTCTCCCACAAGTACAATTGTTCTTGTGCCTTCTGTGGCTTTCGAATTCATCTTTTTGACTTTATTTCCAATTACTACAGCTGCAATAAACACTAGATTTTTTTTCTGGCTGTTTGACATAACGTTGATAGCTATGCATATTTTGTGTCTTTTTAAAACAAAGCGGGAGAATACGTTTTTGAAGAAGAGAATTTTTAGAACAGTTTGATACCGCAAATTATTTTTTCCTCAACTGTTTGAGCAGCATCCGAGTTTTGAAAATTCTTGTAGAAGCCAATTTTTTGTAACTGTGGTGCAAATCTTGTGTTTTCTTAGCCTAATGAAAAGTAGTATAGAAGCAATATTCCATACCATGTGCTATGTATGTGTGTGCAGATGTGTGAATGTACAGACACATACGCACATATACACACATGTAAAAATATATATATGCGTGTGAAGTGGAAAACTTACCTTTTCCTATCTAGATTTAAGAACCTATTTTAGACATTTGTTATGTTTTGTGAAAAGAATGTTCTATTTGCAACAACAAAACATTTAATTCTTACTGTCTCTCTGCCTGTTTAATGAGGATGTTTCACATGAAATGGTAAAATGCGTGGAAGATGTTAGAATGTAGTAATTATTTAAGTAACTGTTCACCCACAGCTCCCTAAAGTTTGCTTTGTGCCTCGGAGTATTATTTAATTAAAGTGTTTTATGTTTGCAGAATCTTTGTTACTGTACTGGGAATGTGGGTGAATATCATTTAAAAAATTTAAAACAACAACAAAAAAAAGCAAAACGGAAACAGTAAAGCAAGAGGGGAACTTTTATAAAGCAATGTAAATATTTAACCTCATGGCTGTTGTTACGTAAGACATGAGATTTTAATAAATAACTACATTCTCACAACATCTGTTGAATTTATTAGGAACACTACAGTGACTGTATAGACAGTTGAAAGCATTCTTGAAAATCCTGCTCTCTGCTTTTAAAAGATAACAGTCTATTTTATCAGATGTCAAGGGCAAGGGTAATGCAGTTTCTGTAAATTTATGAAATTTCTTTTCTATGTACATGAAGACATTTAGGAAGTAACCCCCATGCCCACACACATACAGGTTAATATTGAGTCGTGAAGCTCAAGATTTGGGGTGGCCTTAAGATAGGATAGCCCCTCAAAAGCAATCATCAGTGAACAAGTGGTTTACAGACTCCCCTGAAAGAAGCAGTGTGTGTCTGAGGAGAGTACAAAATCTCTTTGCCATGTATATTATAGAGTATTCATTGGTGTGACTAGTACAAATGTTTCCTTCTGGTACAAACTGTGTTTGCAAATTACAAGAAGCATTGTTTTCCAAAAGCTCCCCTTACAAACGTGTAACTGGTTGATATGAGTAAGCAGTTACCATATTGCACTTAAATGTTCTGTTTAAGGAAATGCAGTTTTGTTTTCTGTAGATCTGTTGGTTGTGAACCATCTATAAAAACTGAAGTTAAAATGCTCATATTCAGAGCTGGGATCAAAACTGGTATTTAACCTTTGCATCTTCTTATAATTATCCTTCTAAGAATATAACAGAATGCGGAAGCAACTGGACTTTGAGTCTTTTCAGCTGAGCCCTCTCTCAAATCAGACACCCCTCAAATGCACAAACAGACGCAGAAAAGGCAAACAGGCTGGCCTTCCTTTGCAAAAATGTATTCGTTCTGTATTTTTTCAGTACACAATTCCTCCACACAGAGAGATAAAGCATTTTGAAGTTATATATTACCACTTCAAATTTAGAACTAGAAAAACGAATTTGGGGTTGGTCTCAGAGCTACCTAGAAGAATCAAAGATCGTGGCTTCCCCCAATGTTATCCCAGCCATTTTTCATATGTATATAGTATAAACCGTGACAAAACACTGCCTTTATATTATTTAGCAATATGTTGTAAATAGCATTATGAAGCTCTTTCTTTTGTAATAAAGACCTTTTGATTTGAATATAGTACAATAACTGAACTGATAAAGTCAATTTTTGATTTTTTTTTAGCTAGAGGCAATTTCAATTGTGGATTTTTGTTATTGTCTATTGTTCTGAAGACTTTGCATAATTTATTGGTTTAATTTATCCTAATTTATTTGATGAAGGTGTACAATTTTGTATTACCAAGGATGTACTGTAATATTAATTGATATGATAAAAAAATGAGACTCCCTGTCCATATTAAAAAGAAAATAAAAAGGTGCAGTAGACAATTGATTTTAAAGTAAAAGTTTAAAAAATTTAGTTCGGCAGCTACTAAATTTTAAAACAGGAAAAAAAACCACATCGTTGTGGGGAGGGTGGGGAGGGGGTTTTCCTTTGTGTGTTTTAAGCTTTTGTATACTCTCCAAACTTTTACCTTTTGCTTTGTACCACTTAAAGGATACAGTAGTCCAATTGCCTTGTGTGCCTTCCATCTTCTCTTAAACTGAATGTATGTGCAGTATATATGCAAGCTTGTGCAAAATAAAATATACATTACAAGCTCAGTGCCGTTTGATTTTCTTTTAGTGTACAACATTCCATTTTTGGACCTGTGTCCAATTAGTTATAAGACGATTGGCTCGTTGTGACTGTAATATCAAGTATGATCACTCCCCTTCATTACAGCTCTTTAACAGTGTAAGCCCAGCATCAAGGCATTACCATTCATAAAAATGGCCTTTGGATCTCAGGTGCTCGCAGTCGGTGGCTAAATGGTGCTCTGGAAACTCTCAGACTGCACTTTGTTTAGGCCCCAAACTCACAAGATAAATAAATAAATAAATAAGCTACAGCTTGAGGAAATATTTTATAACCCTAATTCAACAACTGGTCCGGCCAAGTGATTCAAAGAACAAGGCAAGCCTTTGCCGAAAGTTAGCATAATGACAGATACATTACTTAAAATATGGGAAGTGAGTGCTTGTGCCATTTTTGCACTGGCTGGAGTCAGAACTAAGTAAAAAGGTAAAATTTTCAAATCCCTCTAAAACGTCACTGGCAGCGTCTCTCCTACTGAGGATACTGATTGCAAGGCATTAGACACTGTTATCTCCCTTTGTTTCACAGTCATAGCTCCTTGCTTGACTTATGCATGGTTTCAGTGTATTCCCGAAAGTGTCTTGTGCTGGAAGCATGGGCCTCAGAGTGATGGTGCTGAGGGGTGGTGGAATCTTTAAGAACTGGAGTTCTGTGCATGGTAATTTGTCACTGGGGGATCACCCCTAGGAAGGGTTAATGTGGTGCTGTCTGGAGCCTGATGAGTTCTTATGAGCTCTGCAGTTATAGAAACACCAGATTCGGTTCCTTGTTTCCTATCTTCCTGTCCTATCATGCCATCTCTTCCTCCCACACTTACTCTTACCACACAGCCACCGATTAGCGTGACACCTGCAGAAGGGCAAAATTGACAGGCCCACCCAATCTTGGACTTTAGCATCCAAAACTGTGAGCTAAGTAAACCTCTTTTCTTTATAAAACATCTGGCCTCAGGTATTTTATGAAAGCAATTCAAAATGGACTAGAACTTTAGAGTGGGGACAAGAAAAATTAGCAGAAATCATTTGCCTTGTGAGACTGACCCTGCTACCCACCATTCACTGTAGCCACACCACTGTTCCGTCCGCATGAGCTATTGAAGGTTTCTTAGTGTCTCACGTTTCTTCTCTTGCTTTCATCACAGTGATAAGAACTTTATATTTCAATCCTGTTAATGCAAGCCTGCCTGGAGTCCATATAATATCAAAACTTTATTAAGTGATAATAGTATTTTTCCTTTCCAATTCCTTTCGTATCAACATGACCACGAAATTAAATTCTAATCTTCCTAACTAACTGTGCAAAGAAATACCTATGTCCTTCTATGCCAAAATATTTATTCCTTGCTTGGATTAAAAACCCTCTCCCATCACTTTTCCAACCACTCTTCTCATAAGGAAGGCTTTAGGAGTTATAGAGTGACTCTTCGGATACAGAGTGACTTATTTAACATCGATCTGCTTTGAAACCAGCTTGGACAATACACATAGCGACTTCATCATTAAGAAGTTACAGCAAGTAGAAATGTTTTCTGGTCAGAGGTTTATTAAAAATATGACTGCACGCACACAATGACATAAAACACAAATATACACCCAAACAACTTGTATTTAAATGAGCATCTATGTAATCACCCCCCACTGGGTCAGAAACTAGATCATTGCTGGTGTTTTGAAAGCCCCTGGTGAGATCCATCTTTCCTGATCAGAAGCTGCTGCTTTTTTCACAGAAAGCTGTGCTGACATCTGCAATGTCCTTTCTGCACTCTTTTTAGTATTAGCACCTATGTTAGCTTTCCATTACTCTAACAAATGCCTGACATAATGAACTTACAAAAAGGAAAGTTTAAAAAGTATATAACTTCAGATCCTTACTTTTGGAACTCTAAATTTTCGGTTGGCATTGGCCTGGTATCCTAAGTAGGCCATTCTCAACTCTGACCAACGCTCACCACTCACTGCCGACCTCTCCACACCCGTCTCAAGGGTCCCAGTGCCCCCCGTGTAGTGGAACATATAAGCTTCACAAGCTAATAATTTTAAGAAGCTGTTGTCATTCACTTTATCTCCATTAAAGCAATTAGAAACAACTTACAAGTTTTTCTTTAAAATTAGTAGCTAAAAATCCACATGTAGTCATGACAAATTTACTAACACTCGCTGAGGTCAGAAATAGGTGCTCCTTAACACAAATTATAAGAATACATCAAATATGTGCCATATATCACCAAATTCTGGGGTTGAAGAACATTATTTAAAAGGTATAAAGTATAAAGTAAGTCTATAAAGAAATATGGCAGATTAGATTTTAGAAAACAACCAATAGATAGCTAAGCAAAATTACGAAAGACGGTAAAAAAGTAAATACCGCCCCTCACCAGCTATGGGAGGGAAGGTTTTCGCTAGAGTGAACACTAGAGGGTAGGTTCTGACACTAGAGAAGTCATCAAAGGAGCACGTTTTGGGGGTGCAAAGACCTGCCGCCATTCTGTCCAATTCTGATTCTGAATATCCCAGCAGAATTGCAAGACTTTTACAGGCTAAAGAATTATTAGAGTCAGTGTGGCGCCTATGCTGACTTTCACTGAAAGTTTCCTATGTGCAAAAAAAAAAAAAAAGAAAGAAAAGAAAGAAATCCTTAAAGTGCTTTTGCTCCTCATGAGCAGGCCAGCTGAGGTCAAAGAGCAAAGCGGGGACAAAATGCTGAATTTGGCCAAGTGTGACTGGATAGGAAAGATCGTGCTCCCTCAACAAGTGTCTTGGCCCCCTGCCAAGCACAGGGTGCCCGTGACATCCCAGCCCTCTCTCTGCTCAGAACCATGAGCCATCTGGTAAAGTCAGCATTGAGTTGTCAAGGGCTCCGCATGTTTCTCTTGCCTGTGGTACATGCCTGAAACGATGTGCGGTGCGCAGGAAAATCTGCAGACCACTTCCCTATTGGGTCCTCAGTCACCCGTCCCCTCTTACCTAAGCGCAGTCTCCAGGTGGATGCCTGGCTGCCCCTTGACCTTGCTGGGTCTGCCCAGATACTTTGGGCCCATCCTCTCCCCTTCCCCTTCAGGACTTGTGTCCATCTGTGATCTAAGCATCCTTCTAAACTGTGCATAAGAACTCACAGAAGGAGGAAACTTTCTCTGCTGGAGTCTGGTTTATTTCCCTCATTATGAAGAAAAATGATTAGCACTAAAGAAATTTTAGAGGTAATCAAACTCAGTGGCTATTATTTCTTAGACCTTAGAGCAGGCTGGTATTATATCTGGGGCCAGCAGATTGAGACCTCTTTTAACATAAACAGCTTCATCTTTCTAAAGGGGAACCCGAAGATGTTCACATGAAAAAACTCCTACGTTTTAAACACCAATGATCTCATTGGTTATGATGTTTAAAAACTCTTTGTATGAATATGAGCATTAAAGAACAAGTAGGTTCTGTGGAAACCTCTTTTAAAGAAAAGGGTTCTCTGCCAAGCAAGGACAACTCAATGAGCGCTCTTTCAGGATGAATCTGAAAATTAAATAATGTGTACAAATTCTAGCAAACCTTCAGAAAAGAGATTATGTCATAGAAACGGCACTGAACTTAGCACATGGTTTGTTCCCAGTCACAATTAATTCTCTTTCTTCCCCATTCGGTGGCTTCCTCCCCTGGCCATGTTGTTTTAAGTTTTGATCCAAGAACTACACCCAGACCCACCCCCATTTCCCAAGATATCCACATTTTGAAGAATGCAGAAGGGCCCCAGGAATCCAAAGCTTTTGCCCCACATTCGCAGCTCCCAGGCCCCTGCACTCTGCCTAGGCACAGAAACTGGTGGCCACACCCTCTGCAACCAGGCTTAGGTGGGCAGTGGGGTAGGAGAGGAGCAGCTTACAAAGATTAAGGTGCCATAACGCCTGAAACAGAATCACTTAGGCAGCCTCTATCCTGGCAAAGGGGAGGGTATTATTTGCAAAGCCCCCTGCAGAGTCGCCCAGGTGCTAGCTAGACAAGCTCAGGAGATAGTTTGGCAGCCACCCTGGAAAAAATGCCTGCGTCTCTGCAAATAAATCTGCTGGTGTAGAAAGCACTGGGTTTTCCCCAGTGTTTGTGCAAACAGGACCTTGTGTTTTACGGCTATTGGAAATTCCTTGGTGTGAGGAGCTCTAGATGCTGAAAATTGGAGCTAGGGGTTTCTTGTCATGATTGTTACCTTTGATCTATTAAGAAATAATTTCCCAAAACCAGTGTTTCTATTTCCTATTAATCACAACTGGAAGATACTTAATGATGGGGGGAAACTGTGTTCCCTGGTCTTCCTCCATAGCTTCCCACTTGACTCCAAGATTGAGGAAAAGCCAAAGGGTCGGTGTATACCACACATCCAAATGTGGTTTAGACTTATCCACATGAGCACAGGAATCTGCATGTTAGGAAAAAAGCCCTGACAAAAACACAAATTA